AAAACAGGATTGTGCTATGGACAATAATTCCAGTGATAGAATATAGGGATGCAATAAATGTACACTTCACACAAATAATAATAATAAAAGAAATAATGCAATGCAAATCAAATACCCTACATAAGGCAACTAATCAAGTATTCAGCATAAAGCTCTAACAATAGAACATACATACTTAAACCTGTGGCTTCTCCCAGCAAGGAGATGTGCAAAACCCAGGTTCTAATAATATGTCCTAATAATATGTAATATGCAATCTTTCTAACATCTAAAATAGGTACAAGTAATCAATCCTCATTGTTTGTACTTCAAAAGACAGAGAAAAGGATACATTAAATGAATTATGTTGTGTATAAACATATTATAATAAAATAAACATGCATATGATCATCTTGTACTAAAATCCAATTTATTAGAGTTACTTTAGATAATACCGGTAGACTTGGTTATAGTGAGAGCCAGAATAACATTTTGTACCTATTTAGTTTTATTTATAAGTTCATCCATACCAGAAACCTTTGTATTTGTAAATCTATTCAAAACAAATGAAGAATAATTTGAAAACAAAATACAATCATATATACTGATACACACAATATGAATTGAATAAGGCAATGTTTGAGATTCACATGCATTATAATATAAATTAGATTTCCATTGCAATGTTGGAATCTTGTAAAGATCAATGGGGTAGTCATTCCAGGTACAATAATGTGCATGCATGTGTCTACATGGGTATATAAAATATTATTATTAAACTAAAACCAAGTAGTCTTGAAATTTTAGGCAAAGAGTGATCTAAAAAATCTAAAAGGCAAATAAAATGAAACCCTATGAAATATATGAATATATGAAGTTCTACAACATTAATTTAGTTGTCAATCAGACTTTTTTATATATGACATACATGTTTGTAAAATAGTAAATGTTAAAAAATGAAATTACTGGAATCCAGCTACTCGCTAAACATATGTGGATATCTTTTAAAAGAACTTCATGTTCAGACTTCTAAAATATGAAGAATATGAGTCCCCAGGAACATTTTTCTTATTGAACTTTCTCAGCTTACAGTTAAAGTAACATGAGTAAATAGAAAGCAAATTTCAGGTCCTCTGTCGACAAATAGCATTGTTGCCATTTAGAAGAGACACCAACTGTAATGAAAAACGATGGTGACTTATACTACAGTGCTTCTGTTTCATCAAACATTTCCTTCCCGAAAGGTCCTTGTAATCAGCAGAGGCAGTATCACTCATACAACATCATTCATATTGTCTCTTGTCTCACAATACTAGAAGTTAAACTTGTGATTTTGTTATTGTTCTATTGTTAATGCTATTATATTACTATACATATACTATTTTGAATCACGTAATAAGCAATTTGATTTGGTTTATGTATATAAACATTTCCTATATTTATGAATTGTTTATATGGGGTGTATATTGACCCCTACTGGTATTATTTTTACTAAAGATTATTTTTAGTTTTACTATTGGTGTGCATTTGGAGCTCTTTGTATATTGTTAAATAAACATACACATTTCCTTTCTCTTTTTTTTTTTCATGTACCTGGGTGAACAATTCAATCTTGCTATGGTTAAGATCTCTCTTACTGCATGTGATCCTGGAATAGTGAATAATGGAGTCTCATTATGGATGACAGTTAGTGGGGTTTTCTTATTTGTAAGTAGTGTGTTTGTTAATCTAGTTAGTTACATGTCATTTATTTGTTTGTTACTGCGTGTTTTATGCACTTGGTTGTATCTTACTGCATGTTTTATGCATGTGCTTGTAAATTAAAAAGAGGGTTTGTTTAATTTATAATATTTGTGGCATGATTTGATGACTTTTATTAACATGCTTTTATGGTGAACAAAGAAAATTAAAGATTGATAAAGACATAAAGATAGAAGAAATTAGATTTCAATAATTAAATAGCAACTTTTTTATTTGTTTGCTTAACCACCTCCTAATACTTTTTGGAGATCAAAGGATCTGTAAACGTGAAGCCCAAGCAAGGAATTCAGTCCATTCGTGGGCCTGTGGGGAGATTAAAGATCTCACTCACAGGCCCATGACACAGACATGCAGGGTAGGGCAGATCTCACCTCTAACTGTGGGTCCGTGTGCCAAGTTCCAAGTTACAGTCATGGGTTGTCATGGCAATGCTCTCACTAATGCCAGAGCTCATCGGGAGCAATCTGCCAGCTGAAGGAGAGTACTCCAGTCCTCTGGACCATCAGAATGTCTCTCTGCCCTTTGGCCAAAGAAAACAAAAGAGAGAGGACAATATTTTTTTTTATTTATTTATGTATTTATTTATTTATTTGATTTATCAAATATACCTTATATAAAATTATTATTCACCCCTACACTCTGAAGCCCTTATCCCCCTAAACAATACAACTTCAAAACAGCCCATATATATGCCTATGACAACCCCTGGATACATGTATATGCACACTTCAGCACTATAAACAAAGAAATATTTACTCTGCATCCTCTTGCCATACAAACACTCTCTACAGCCCCAAGATGCACACACACACCCTACCACACCTGTAAATGCAGCCCCTATACACACATGCACTAGCTTATACATGCAACTTACAGTCCCTATACATATACACACCCTACAGCCCCTACACCAGTGATGGCGAACCTATGGCATGCGTGCCACAGGTGGCACGCTGGGCCCCCTCTGTGGGCACGCAGCTATAGGTCGCTGGAGGAGGGGGCCGCTGGCTGTCAGCATCAATGCAGAGTAGGCACCTGCCTGCCCGAAACGGCAGGCATCTACTCTGCTTCTGTGTCCAGGGGGAGGGGGAGGGATCGAGGAAACAGGAGAGCTGCTTCCTAGACATACAGTACTTACCACCCCTGGACCATCAGGGATGGCTGTGTCCCCCGCCCTCCTTCACCAAAGGTAAGAAGAAGGGAGGGGGGGATACAGATTTAATATATCTTTTTTTTATTAAATATATCTTTACCATCCCCACCCCCCCTTCCCCACACAGCACCCCTCCCACACACAGCACCCCTACATCCGCCTCCCCCCACACAACATCCCTACATCCCCTCCCCCGACACAGCACCCCTCCCCCACACAGCATCCCTCCCCACTCAGCACCTCTACCCCCACACACAGCACCCCTCCCCCCACACACAGCACCCCTAAACCCACCTCCCCCCACACAGCACCCCTACATCCCCCACTCCCCATACAGCTCCCCTCCTACAAACAGCACCCGTACCCCCTCGCATCCAGTAGCCCTACCCCCCACACACCACCCCTATGCCCCACACACACCGACCCTAACCCCACACACAGAGCACCTCTACCCCAACACAAAAACAGCACCCTTACCCCCCACACAGCACAGCACACCTACCCCCGCACACACACAGCACCCCACACACACAGCACCCCACACACACAGCACCCCTCACACAGACACACACACAGCAGTGTGTGTATTCAGCAGACTGTGTGTGTGTGTATTCAGCGGACTGTGTGTGTGTCTATTCAGCAGACTGTGTGTGTGTATTCAGCAGTCTGCGTGTGTGTGTATGTATGTATTCAGCAGTCTGTGTATTCAGTGAACTGTGTGTGTGTATTCAGCAATCTGTGGATGTATTCAGTAGACTGTGTGTATGTATTCAGCAGACTGTGTGTATTCAGCAGACCGTGTGTATGTATTCAGCAGTCTGTGTGTGTATGTATTCAGCAGTCTGTGTGTGTGTATTCAGCAGACTGTGTGTATGTATTCAGCAGTCTGTGTGTATGTATTCAGCAGTCTGTGTGTGTATGTGTATTCAGCAGTCTGTGTGTGTGTGTATTCAGCAGTCTGTGTGTGTGTATTCAGCAGTCTGTATGTGTATTCAGCAGTGTATGTATTCAGCAGTCTGTGTTTGTGTGCATATTCAGCAGTCTGTGTGTGTGTGCATATTCAACAGTCTGTCTGTATGTGTATTCAGCAGACTGTGTATGTATTCAGCGGTCTGTGTGTGTGTGTACTCAGCAGTCTGTGTGTGTGTGTATATTCACCAGTGTATGTATTCAGCAGACTGTGTATGAATTCAACAGTCTGTGTGAGTGTGTATTCAACAGACTGTGTGTATGTATTAAGCGGTCGGTGTGTGAATGTGTTCAGCGGTCGGTGTGTGAATGTGTTCCAGTCTGTGTTTATGTATTGCATTTGTTGGAGATACTAATAAATATACAGTAAATGTTATCTATTTATATCATTATTTAAAATGTGTATAGTTGAACTCTGTTGTTGTGTTGTTGTTATCTAAAAGTAATGTTTATTTTACCTTTGGAATCACTAACTACTGTAATTATCATTATAACATTTATCATGATACTTATTCTCATTATGGTCTATTTATGGTTTATTTTTTCCCTGTTTTTTTTTTTCCTTTTGTTCTTTTTTTGACAACAGAGGGTGTGTAGAAAGGATAAGATACTGTAATAATTTTTTGAGCTGTGATTTGCTCTATCTATTATAAAGGGTTATGAATACTACAAAGTACTCTGAAATGCTGAAGGAGGGGGGTGTGGCTAGCAGCCGAACCTAATGGCAGCACACTAAGATAGCTCCTGGGTTACACAGAGAGAATCGCCAGCAAAGGAGGCACAATCCACCATGGGGAACCACAAAAAGGCTCAGCCTAACACCCAGCTCACCGGGAAAACCCTGGCAAGTAAAACGGGCACCGTAACCCGTCTATTTAAAGAATATGCTGACCGCATGTCGGACTCCGGCGATCCCAATATGGCGCAGACGGCAGCAAATACAGACTCAAACCCGCCGAGCCCCACAACATCAGACACATCTCATACTTCCACAGACGTGGATATAAGATAAATACTAAGAAGTCTCCCATCAAAAACGGACTTAGCACAAATGCTAAGCAGACTAGAAACAACCTTCCACCAAACCCAAATGCATACCCTATCAGCCAAAATCTAAGCCCATGAGAGACAGCTTTCCATGTTGCAGTGCTCCCTGGATGATATTGACAACAGGGGCTGGAGAAATAACTTGCGCATAAGGGGCTTACGCGAAGCCGAGGGGGAAAACCTCTCCACCTCCCTCTCTACACTATTCAACCTTATCCTAAGCCGCAAAACTGACACCCCGGTTGTCCTAGACAGGGTGCACCGCTCACTAAAACCCAGACTGGGACGGGAGAGACACCAAGGGATGTCATATGCCGCATTCATTACTATGCACTCAAAGAAAAGATACTAAGAAAATTGAGAGACACCTCTTTCCCAATGCTTTTTCATGGCCATGAAATACAAATTTATCAGGATATCTCATGGCACACTCTGCAAGCAAGGAGAGTACTAAAACCTACAACAGATCAACTCTGCACACGCAACCTGAAATACAGATGGGGTTTTCCATTTGCCCTAATAGTCAGCTCCCGTGGATCCACTTACACGATTACAATGCACCAAGATATTATTCCGTTCACCAGAGCACTAAACCTAGCAGAAACGTCTATTATGGACTGGCTCTATCAACCTCATCAGCACAGCAAGGAGCAAGATGGAGATCCCCAGTGAAAAGGTAAAGAACGAATCCTATAGGAACTCCCCAGACTGGGACGGGAGAGACACCAAGGGATGTCATATGCCGCCAGGGGCGGACTGACAACTCATGGGGCCCCTGGGCAATAGGAGACCATGGGGCCCCCGTGTACCCACCAACTTGCAAGATACACAAATATACATCACGCCCACATACATGTGTTACAGGAAGGGTTGTAATGTGGGGGGGAAGAGGCTTCAGTGGGGGACAGGAGTCGTAGCATGTGGGACTAGGGCTGTAGTTGGGAGATAAGGGCTATAATGGGCAACAGCGGCTCTAATGCGGGGTGGGAATCGTTGTAGAGGGGGTATAGGGGTTTTAATTGGAGACTAGTGTGAGGTTGGGTGATTAGGGGCTGTCATGGGGGGATAGGAGCTGTAGTAAGGGGATAAGATTATAACAGGAGGATTATAACACATGCAAATGGAGTGCTATATTTGTTGCATATGCATATGGTGTGAAAAATGTAAAAAAAGAAAATCTATGGTGTCTGGAATACAAACATATTCCTGACACTATAGTTGTAAGAACACATTTTAGATCCCCAGCTTTTCTCTCGTTATAAAGTTATTTTACTCACTTTTTTCCACCTAAAGTAGAGCGGATACTAGTGCAAGATTTTTTTTAGGTCCACCTATCGTAAGGATGGAGAAAAAGGTAGATCCCCATCTTTCGTACAACTACCACAATACTTTGCCAGATGGGCATCTACCATTTGCCCATCCTTTCAGGTTTGTACTTAGCCCCCAGCATTGTTTGTATGTTTGAATATAAGCATGTTTTGAATGGAGTATATGTGTGTGAATGTAGGGATGTATTTGAGTGTAGTGTTGGAGTTTGAATGCTGAGATGTATACACATATACACTGCCATGTACACACACACACACACACACACACATATATATATATATACACACACACAGACTCACATTGACACATACAGATACAAGCATTGACATGTATAGATACACATGTGCAGACTCACAGATACAGACACACTAACACACGTACAGATATACAGACACACACATACAGATACACAGACACACATTAACGCACATAAAGATACACACATACAGATACACACAGACACACACTAATAAGCATACATATACACAGACACACACTAATATACAGACATGCACACTAACAGATACAAACACACGCTAACACACATACAGATACAGACACACACACAGATACAGACACATGCACATACAGATACAGATACACACTAACACACATACAGATACAGATACAGACACATACAGATACAGACACATACTAACACAAATACAGATACAAACGCACACTAACACACATAATGACACATATACAGATACACAGACACACATACAGACACATACTAACACACATACAGATACAGACACATACTAACACAAATACAGATACAGAGACACACTAACACACATACAGATAACATGCACACACAAATTACATTACATATATTAACCACCCCCCTGCTACATACCTTTTTGGTGCAGGAGGGTGGCTTCCCTGGTGTCAAGTGGCATCTGGCTGAGTGTGATGGGAGTTTGGAGGGGGAACCTGCTTACCAACTGCATTACACAGTGCAGGGGCCCACTTGCCCGCAGCATTACACAGTGCAGTGTACTCAGGTCGCAATGACCTGATTATTTCTGTAGCGACCCGTGCAGGCGGCGCACTTCGATGCGCGTGTATGACGTCACGGATGAGCACCGATGCACACAGGGCGGAAATAATCCTCGGCTCCCCCAGATCCTACCTCCACTTCTGGTAAGCAGTGAGAACGGTGCAGCTATCGAACGTTGCACTTGAGCGGTCGGCGCAAGTTTTTGTTTTGTCTGACAGTGTCGCAGACAGAAAGTGGTTGGTTTGCGGGCCCCCTACCTCGGCCGGGCCCTCGGACCATGTCCGAAGTGCCCGACCGCTCAGTCCGCCCCTGTATGCCGCATTCATTACTATGCACTCAAAGAAGAGATACTAAGAAAATTGAGAGACACCTCTTTCCCAATGCTTTTTCATGGCCATGAAATACAAATTTATCAGGATATCTCATGGCACACTCTGCAAGCAAGAAGAGTACTAAAACCTACAACAGATCAACTCTGCACACGCAACCTGAAATACAGATGGGGTTTTCCATTTGCCCTAATAGTCAGCTCCCGTGGATCCACTTACACGATTACAATGCACCAAGATATCATTCCGTTCACCAGAGCACTAAACCTAGCAGAAACGTCTATTATGGACTGGCTCTATCAACCTCGTCAGCACAGCATGGAGCAAGATGGAGATCCCCAGTGAAAAGGTAAAGAACAAATCCTATAGGAACTCCCCAGACTGGGACGGGAGAGACACCAAGGGATGTTATATGCCGCATTCATTACTATGCACTCAAATAAGAGATACTAAGAAAATTGAGAGACACCTCTTTCCCAATGCTTTTTCATGGCCATGAAATACAAATTTATCAGGATATCTCATGGCACACTCTGCAAGCAAGGAGAGTACTAAAACCTACAACAGATCAACTCTGCACACGCAACCTGAAATACAGATGGGGTTTTCCATTTGCCCTAATAGTCAGCTCCCGTGGATCCACTTACACGATTACAATGCACCAAGATATCATTCCGTTCACCAGAGCACTAAACCTAGCAGAAACATCTATTATGGACTGGTACGTGCCGGACCCGGCTCTATCAACCTTGTCAGCACAGCAAGGAGCAAGATGGAGATCCCCAGTGAAAAGGTAAAGAACGAATCCTATAGGAACTCCCCAGCGGGAAGAGAGAAGATCAGGGAACACCAGGGAGGACTAAAACAGACTCTCATGGACATTCCCAGATGTTTCATCTTACACTCCTTTTTCCCTGTGAACTTACCACATAAATGGTTCCAGAAAACCTACACAAAATGGACCATGTACTAATGTGGACTTTTGATGACCACATTGAACCAGTCGGGGCTTAACTCTGACACCCCCTGGTAAGGAAAGCCCGGCAAGACCCATCATCCAAGGTCATATACATTAATCTGCTACTCACACTTTCGATAAAAGTGACAGAACCGACAGGGATATTCTAACAGGGACGGGGACCATCTCAGACTGGTTCAGACTAAGAGCAAAGTACAGAACATAACTAAACTAAAACAAGCTAAACAATATACTCTGTACTTTCATAGGGGATGGGAAATTATTATTATATAGAAAAATATATATAAAAAAAAGTAAAAAATTTTTCATAACATCCACATCTGGGAATAGTCCAAACATAGCTATACCTCTCGTTCCCCCCCCCCCCATCCCCATATGCTACTGTTGCGCACAAACCTCCAAGATGCAAACACAAACTACCACACGATTATACTCCGTGAGCCCACCCAAAGCTCATAAAACTTAAGGCACTGAACTAACCCAGAGACAATAGGCAGCCGACAGCAATAAATTAAACGTGGGGTATCTCACCGACAACAAAGGCTACCCATTAGTCCTCTCACGCACACTACCACGCACGCACCCCTACCTCAATATTATCGGGGTTATTTAAAGCCAGCCCACTGTAGACTACGGGAATTCTCAGGGGCGGACCCCAGGTATTTTAAAATAGCTGAGTATCAACAACCCAGCACTCACAATACCTTAAAATCTAACAGCACAACCGACCAAACGTATTGTATATAGTTTTGTTTTGGTTATATTGTTATATCTAAATTACTTGTTACGGTGTTGACTCTCTACTTGCCCTTAACATTCAAGGAACTTGGTAAATCATCTGGTTATTTATTGCAAATATTGTATACTGTTTATGATTGTCTGAGGTGTAGACAGGTTCACCTGAGCGAACTTACTACCTAACCCCACCCACTCCCTTCTCCCGATACTCGACAATCACAACTATAACGGTTCTATCTCACAACGCCAGGGGACTAAATATACCCAGTAAATAGACACTTGGCCCTCACAGATTACCACAAACATAAGGCTGACATGGTGTTTATACAAGAGACACACTTCCGCAAAGATTCAGCCCCATCTCTCAGATCCAGACACTACACAAAGGGTTTTTTCGGTAATTACACTGAATCTAAATCTAGAGGGGAAGCAATCCTCCTCTCCCCTCAGTTACCATTCACATACAAAGAACACATGTCGGACGACAACGGGGGATATATATTCCTGAAAGGCCAAGTAGGCTTAACATCAACAACGTTCGCAAATATCTACCTCACTAACAAAAAAACAATTTCAGGCACTACGCAGGATAATCAAAACACTAGAAAGCTTTACAGAAGGCCTTCTGATCTTAGGGGGAGATTTCAACATCTCACTAGATGGGGCACTCGACACTACATCCCACACCCAATCATATCAGACGCCCACGAGAACGCTGATTCAGAAATTATTAGACTCACACCAACTGTACGACTGCTGGAGAATATCACATCCGACAGAACGAGATTATTCATGTTACTCGCATTCATCAGGCACATACTCACGAATCGACCTGTTTCTCCTGCCCCATAGATTTTTAAACCTGTGAACTCATGCAAATACAACTCTATTACATGGTCGGACCATGCCCCAATAACATTAACCATCACAATCCCATCCCTGCACCCCGCCAGGACACAATGGAAACTAAATGACACCCTGCTAAACCATCCGGAGATACAAACCCAAATTAGGAATTCTCTGACTCAATACTTTAAAATTAACGTACAACCAGACTCACCGTATCCTATCATATGGGAAGCACACAAAAGTTCAATCAGGAGCACGATTATCCAAGCAGCATCACGACTCAAAAACAAAGGGAATCCCATACTTTAACCCTCATCAGGGAGATCAGGGAACTAGAATATACACACAAAAAAGAACTAAAATTAGCTACATACAAGTCACTGGTGGAGAAAAGAACTGAACTAAACACTATTCTCAACGTCGGCACCAAACACGCACTAGCTAAAACTAGAAGCAACTATTACGCTCATGGAGGCAAATGGAGGCGCCTTTTGGTGCATGCCCTAAAAAAACAAAGGGAACACACGTTTATAGCAGCCATCCGCAACAAAGAGGGACAACTATTTCACTCAATGACCGACATTCTCACAGCTTTTAAAGACTATTACTCCTCTCTTTACAACTTGAGAAAAATACCGCCCTCTGCAACAGATATCCGCAATTTCCTCTCACAAAGGATACACTCCACTATTCCACAAAATATCTGTGCATCTCTAGACCAACCTATCTCAATAGAGGAATGCTTAGAAGCGATCAAACACCTCCCAGTAGGGAAAAGCCCAGGCCCAGACGGACTTACTGCCAAATACTACAAGACGTATGCCACCATACTTGCACCACACTTCCAAAACTCATTTAATTAATTGCTCAAAACTGACACCACCCCAAAAAAAAACTAAACGCAACGATTACACTACTACCTAAACCGGGGAAGGACTTGACTCAGTGTGGGAGCTACAGGCCGATCTCGCTGATAAACATAGATCTGAAACTCTTCACAAAAATATTAGCCAATAGACTACGTCCCCTACTACCAGGACTTATCCATGCAGATCAATCAGGCTTTATCGCGGGCAGAGAAGCCAAGCACAACACCACAAAATTACTAAACCTCATACACCAAGCCACCAGAGCGGGGCGCCCAAGTATACTCCTGTCAATCGATGCCGAAAAGGCGTTCAACAGGGTGGACTGGTCCCTGCTCTCCCACACCCTACAACATATGGGCTTTGGTCCACATTGGCAAAAATGGTTCGATGCAATTTACTCTAACCCCACAGCGAATATCCGCGTCAACGGGCAACTGTCTGAGCCAGTAAAAATAACTAATGGCACCAGACAGGGATGTCCCCTATCCCCTCTCTTGTTTGTTCTAGTCCTCGGGCCCTTCCTTCAAGGAATCAGGGACAATGGGCAAATCAGAGGAATTACAACAGGCACAGAAGAACACAAAATAGCAGCATTTGCTAACGACATGCTCTTTACAATCTCTGACCCCGTAACATTGATACCCCCTGATGACTGAGATGAACACGTACAGCTCTATCTCCAATTTCAAGGCAAATCTCAGTAAATTTGAGATCCTGACACTACATATCAGCCCCCAAGAAAAAACGTACATTAAAAAAAAACACCAATTATTTAGGAATACACCTAACTACAGACACAACCCATCTATTTGAAAGCAATTTCCCCAATCTAATGAAAGACATAGCCACAGACCTTAATGCATGGAATAAGCCACAATTTGGATGATTCTGTAGGTTAAGCATATTAAAAATGAACATCCTGCCCAGAATATTATATCTACTGCAAGTCCTTCCAATTACGTCACCCAAGGCATGATTCACACTAGTCCGAAAAACACTCACAGCATACATATGGTCATATAAAAATCAATGACTAGTGTACTCACTACTCACAAGACCCAGGGAGGAGGGAGGTGTGGGACTTCCAGACATAGAACGATACCACCAAGCAGTCCTCCTAACCAGAATTTATGATCGGACACTCCCACACTCCTCTATGTAATGGGTGACAATAGAAAATACGTTCTTCAGAGCACCCATATACACGATACCGTGGCACAAGTCAGGACAGGCATTCCTACGAAACAATCCCCACCTGACTATCACACTGACACTTCGTTTGTGGGCCAAACTAAGAACACAGCACATGATTTTCCCATACCCATCCTCACTGTACCCTATCATACATAACCCCTTGTTCAAACCAGGGGAAGATGGTAGGACGTTCAAACACTACCTGCAGTCAGATTATCTGCAACTGGGGGACCTCATGGATGACACGGGAGAACGGATAAAACCATTGCCAGTCACTACAGACAAACAAACTACAATGCAAACATTCCAAAATGGACAACCCACCCATTTTATCCGCACAGGTCCTTTAGCACACAAACCTTTCAGTATACCACCTGACACCTGGCGCCTCATATTCAAACAAATACATGGTTCTTCCCGAAACACAACAACTCAAGAGGGAAATTACAAAAGGTTAACCAGGTGGCACTACACACCATCGAAACTAAAATCACTTTTCCCTACAACCTCTAGCCACTGCTGGAGGTGCCATGATCCCGAAGGCCACACCACACACATTTGGTGGACATGTCCAGTTATCAGCAATTACTGGAAACGTCTACATAGCCTAATACAGACCACTCTATACATATACATCCCATTTACGCCAATATCTTTCCTGTTCCTGACATGCCCCCAAACAACAAACAAATTGAAAGCAGTCCTACTCACGCACTTATTATCTGCTGCAAACCAACTCATCCCTACTTTATGAAAGCAACCTGACCCACTCTCGATCCGGGAATGGACCCAAAGGGTCAAAATGATACGGGGCCTAGAAGAAACATGCTATTCCATAACAAATAAATACCAGGTTTCTACAGACATCTGGCAACCATGGTGTGATTATCTCAAAGATCAATCAACATAGATAACACGTCCCGGGCAACAACCAGCCCAAATGGGGCACCCTTAATCCTTTTACCCATTCACTCCCCCTTATCCACACTTCGACAGTTAGAACCCCTGCCTAACGGCATTGCAGAGATTTGTTCCTTCAGTTCATTACCATGTACTTGAATCTTTATTAGAGTCAAGCTGGGTAAACAGCCCCAAAACTATAACGAATGACAAGTCCTAAGAGCTTAAAACGTACGCAACCTTTTGTAAGAATTTATTTGTGTGAATTCTCTGTTAACAAATTTCCTTCACCTTCTGTAACACTTCATTGAAAAATGTTGTATGATTGCAAATTTTCAAATAAAAAATAAAAAAATAAATAAAAAATAAATGCTGAAGGAACTTTTGGGTAAATCTACCTGAATAAGAACTTTTAGAGGACATGTTCTTTTATTGTTTATATGTATTTGGCGGGTAATTAGGAATCAGGATAGGATTGATTGTATGTATTTTTTATTCATTTGCATTGAAGGGTACAGGGTGGAGAGATGTGATATAGACAACTTATACAAACGTGATTCCCTTTTTCTGGTGAAAGATATAAATTAAAAATCTCTTTGAGCATCTACTTTTTGAATGCGGTATTAGTCTTCATCCTATATTTTAATGTATTTATATTAAGAGAAAAGAGCTGTACATGACATGAAATAATTGAATACAATTTCTAGTGGAACAATGATAAATAAAATTCTAAAGAGGTTAAAGCTACTCTAATTGCATTGCATTTTTGTACAGGTTGATAAGTTTAAAGGACCACTCTAGGCACCCAGACCACTTCAGCTTAATGAAGTGGTCTGGGTGCCAGGTCCAGCTAGGGTTAACCCATTTTTTAATAAACATAGCAGTTTCAGCCCCTAATCCTCTAGTGGCTGTCTCATTGACAGCCACTAGGCGCGTGCTTCTCACTGTGATTTTCAGAGAACGCCAGCGTCCATAGGAAAGCATTGTAAATGCTTCCGACCGGCTGAGCTCTTGCGGCGCATTCAGCCGCGGGGAGAGGAGGAGGAGGAGGAGGAGAGCTCCCCGCCCAGCGCTGGAAAAAGGTACATTTTACCCCTTTTCCCCTTCCAGAGCCGGGCGGGAGGGGGTCCCTGAGGGTGGGGGCACCCTCAGGGCACTATAGTGCCAGGAAAACGAGTATGTTTTCCTGGCACTATAGTGGTCCTTTAATGTCCCAGTTTCAATTCATCATTTTAATAATGATCATTGGTATCATCATATAATTTGGCCTTGTCTAATCAATGCACTTAAGAATGTTTTCTTGAACAGAGTATTTGTTTTAATTTTCTCCTCACACTTTCCAGCTACAATCTCCCATTAAAGTGTTTTAAAAAGCGTAACCTGATTAACACAATTTTGCTATGATACCCAGGCAACAGTTGGGTGCTGCAACAGGTCTACTTTCCATAGCCGAAAGACCTAACAATGCAGTCTTGCAGATCGTTTATCAAAAAGAGTAAAATTAGTCTGAACTGGAGACCAGTCACTTAATAGACTATAAAAAAAAAAGATTAACTGAAATGGCTGTAAAATGAAGTTTTTCACTGAACTGGGTGTAAGAGGAGACATAGTAAAAGGAGATATTTAACTGAATTAGCTGTTTACTTCAATTTACTGTTTTCTCTCCAAAAGGAATGCAAGATTCATATGCAACTTTGGCACCAGAAATAGATCTATCTTACTAACATACATACATGTATCTTTAATTATAGGTGTACAGCTAAAACTATTTATGGTAATAACATTTTAAGTTATAAAAACAAAACAAAATGGTCATATTATTGAAATGTATTATTGAAATGTACTAGTAAATAGTAAGTCAAATTTTATCACAGATTAAAAAGTTTAAAAAATATAATATAGTTACGCCTCACTCCCCCAATGGTAAGCATATGGCTAAATCCCTGGTCAATCTATGTCTTTTCTAACTTGCACAATTTGTCTAAATGAAAGCTGACTGACTTGTATCATCATTTTGTAATTTAACCGGTTATCATTCTTAAAGCATGAAATATTTTTAATTAAATGACATGCAGCATAACACTAAACCATCTGGAAGCGTAAAATAATACATGGGAAAAAAATAAAAGGCACAATATTTTAGAGATGCTATGTCTTATTTCACATTCATTAACAGCACAAAAGATGGTCAAATTATTATAACAATGCAATTTTAAAATAAGTATATACCACTTTTTTAATTTCATGTTTTTAGATATACCCCCAATGAAGATATTTATAATTTAATCAATTAATTAATTACATACGTAATTTAATTGATTTTCATTTTGTTTTGTATTTAGGCAGTGAAGTGTCCCTTTAATTTTAAGAATTTTACTCTCCACAGGGTAAAGAGGTTGGTACATGAAGGCATTGCAGATGCTTTCCCACAAACCTAGTAGAAACCCTACCCATGAAACCCTTTATGAGTTTCCCCTATTTTTTAAATATTTATCATTCCACATATTACAGGATAGGGATAGGAAGTGATGGATATTGTGACTTTCTGACATTTCTACTTCTACTTTCAACCTCTCATCTGCCAGCAATGGGTAATGGGCATAGCAGGACCCTTTGCCTGGTGCCTTCTGTGTATTTCTTTTTTATTTTGTCATTTTCCATATTTCACAGACCAGGAGATGTGGTTAGGAAGATGGCAGGCACCATATTTGCTCAAAAATTGTAAGAAAGCACAAAACTACAAATATGAATAAACAAATTGCATGGGTGAAATGTGATAGATAATTCGATGGTTGTAGATACTGGTCTAAATACAGCCTTTCTCCTAACAGAGTACTTATTAAAAGCTGTCACTTTTGAAAAATCATCAGTCCAAACAAGTGGTTAATGTTTCAGTCCATGTGTAGGAACTAATAAGCACATAAATGTCCAATGGACTTAAAGTCCAACGGACACAAAAGGATCCCATTTGGATGTTAACAAAAAATAATAGTAGTTAATGTACAATTTCTTTAAAAATACTTAGGGACATACAAAACACAACAAAGAACCATTAAAAGAGTCAAAGTGGCTTGGCAGATAGGTAAGAGGAAACATTTTGGCTCTTTTAATGGTTCTTTTCTGTGTTTTGTATGTCCCTAAGTATTGTTAATAAAATTGTACATTAACTACTATTATATTTTGTTACCAACCGTAAGGGATCTTTTTGTGTCCGCTGGACGTCAAGTCCATTGGATATTTATGTGCTTATTTGTTAATAATATTGGAGGGTGACCCCCTTTTTCAGGGTCCCTAAACACACCACATAGTCCCATTTAGGGACTTTGTGTTTTTCCATGTGTAGGAACTTCCAACAGAACAAAAAAAAAGGTAAAGAGCAAAAGTATAAAAGATGAGTCAAGTGAAAACATGAAAACATGTATCCTGTGCCTTTAACTTCATGGTAAACTAATATATATGTTAAGCATTTCAATTCACTAATATGCCATTCATTCTTTCCCTAACTCTGGGTTTGCAAGCTTGATTGACACATTGAAAGTTTACTATGTTAACTGAAACGTTGATATGTTTTTGTTTTGTTTTGTAAATAATTAAATAATAGGTTTTTTTTCACCAATACTTAACAAAAGAAGACCTTAGAGGAGAGCTATTACTTGAAATTGGTTTATTTATTAAAGATTTTACTTTCCTTTTTTAATCTTTATCTTTTAGTATTAGACTACTTTTGGCATTATTCGAGAGAACAGAAAAGGACCATCCACTACATTTGTAGCGAGTCCTCAGGGGTTACTGGCAATCTATAAGGGGAATCCTAATTAAATACTTCGAAAATTTGAAAAAGAAATGGAGACACATTTAATGTGTCTCAATTTTTTTTTCTAATTTTTTACTTCTGGCATTATATCACCTTTTGCATTAAGTTCACACCTTAACACTTTTGCTAATTAGCCCTCTGAAAACATTTGTTCTGGATGTTCAATTTAGTCACCAGGTCAGTGGGATATGTATACCTATGTCAACAGGGGGAAAGAAAATACCGACGAGAGGAATACCCAGCTATTCTCACCTTAGTAAATAACACTGATAATTATGTGAATCACAATCTATGTTGTACAAATAAAATATTGCAATGTATGCGTAGCAAAAAAGTCTGTCTTGGGTGCCCACTGGATATATTGGTCCATGGATTAATACAACATCCAGAATCCAGAGCACTCACTCACTAAGAACCAGCTTCAAAGAATAGACAATTGAATATAAAAAAAAAAAAAAAAAAAAACCTGATGTAGAAGTAATTCGGATTTAGTAACAGTATATTACCATACATTGCATACTCCTGCCACAATGTGAGTGTACCCCATTTTAACATCCTATTGTCTGCCCTTGGGACATACTTGGAAAATCCACGCTACTGGAGGTTTCTATAGTGTTAGGTTGAATATGCACTGGAAAGTGAAGTCAGTTCTTGAATTTCATGTGCTGGAAGCAGGAAAATGGGCAAGATAAAGGAAAACTAAAATGCTGGCACTGTATAGTATATTATGTAATATATATATGTAATGCATTTCACGCTAGCCTTGATTAAGGCATGCATATATAATTGCTTTTCTCATTTCCGATACAAAATCTAAAGTTAAATAGCTGTTGGGTCATTGTTTAAAATGTTACGAATAATAACTCGATGAATTGCTATGCTCATTCACACAGCATATCAAATTAGATACTGTCAACTGGATAATGTTAATTAATTATAATTATAAAATACATTCCTTGCCAGGTATTTAAAGGTAATGAATTACACTGCATGTAGATATATTGTTAAAGCCATGCATACCCTTTATTTTCAGAGTGCAT